GGACGAGACTCGTAGAAGGAGGCTGTCTTTGAGTCCAGCTTCATGTTTCGCGGATATATGCCGGGACGGAAAACCCAGGGATTGTTGAGGTTACTTTCCCCAGCCTCAATCAAAAGAACCTTGAGATTGTGATCTAAATTGGCCAGCCTGTTATAGTTAGGACCACCGTTTATGATGCGAATAGGGTCAACCACTTACCTGCCCGCGACTACACATCCACAACTTCCACCTCCTGCCACAATGATATCGAACTCCTCAGGCAGCGAACTGCCATACCCTGAGTACTGCGTTGTCATCTTTGTGGCTCGGCTTCACTCTGAAAGCCTAACTCAGATGTAATAAAGTTGCTCCAACTATCGTGTGAAGTCAGTGGCGGACCTCTTGTCTTAAATAGATCTCTGGGAACACGCATGTCATCGCTGATTGTGGCCAGCGCCTTAAGACTCTGGAAATCGGTGGTCTCACTTGTCCGAAGAGCCGAACCATCATGCGTATCCCCTCACAAAAAAGATACGACCACCAATTGCATTTTGTGCCACGAATCACCAACGTTCCATTCACCCGTCCAGACTCGCTGCAGCATCCAATGAACAGGCGTAAAGCAAGTTGGTGTGCAGCTTTCCGGGTTGCATAGCCAAGACTTGCGGGGTGATATGCAGTGCCTGGTGTTGAGATGGCCGTAGGAGGATTTAAGTGTGACATTAGTAGTGATATAATTTTACACGTCTACATTGTTCTATCTTAATTTAAAAAAGTTGCCATACTCTCTCTTACTCAAATATCGGAAAGTTCATCTTCCATGCTTCTAAGCTTCTTACTACGTATAGTCAGCTTGAAAGAATACCAATAACTTGTCTTATAACAAACATTATCCCGAATAATTAAACCTGTATTGGTGGATTAGTGATATGTCGAATATGGATCCTATTCCATGGCTAACATTGACTGATTGAGAATAGTTGCGGCAGGCACGGATGAAATATTAGACGACCTCTCTCCGCATCTCCAGGTGCTCAATCACACCCGAGCAAATCACAGCTACTGTAGGGTTCATGCACCCCGGATTCTCACCAAGCGCTGATTGTGGAGATAAAGCCCCTCATGAGTTTATATCCCCAGGTTGCGTTCTTCTTGCGTCAAGTGCGGGGGAAAGGTATATTCATCATCAGAGTGTAAGCGTAGTTATCTCGGTACGTGACGTATTATTTGGCCTTCTTGAGACGAGACGGCAATTGCCGGTGAGGGGTTGGCTATGCTATGGCAGTTCTTGTGTTTCATTGTGTTCGAAATACGGAATAGCTGATACAAATAGTATCACGGATTACAAAACCAGATGCAAAGGACTGGCTCTCCCCCGCTTGGACACGATGAACTACCCCGAGCATACCAACGCACACTGGCCCAATCATTTTCATCCCACTGACTTCTACTACGTTATGTGCAACCAAGTTCATCCGATTGAAAGTTTCTCGCTGTACACATGCCAGGAATATGAGTATCCTGTAAGTAGCCAAAAGAAATACCAGCTGAAAATTGTATATGATGCATTCTTTGCTAGTAGCTGGGTAGAAGATTGACAGAAAACGGACTGTCGGCAGCTAAAATACCCAGATTGCCAGACAACCTTGTTCAAGGGCTAAGAGGGGCATATTATTCCCGGGCTATCCCCCCAGTGTGTGGTTGAGACGCAGAAGAATCCCGCAGTGTGATAAGGTGAATGCTTCCACCGCGGTATCGATACGCCGTAGTATAAGCCATAATTGAACAACAATCTACGCTTCAAAGGGCTCGTCCAATGTTAGGCTTTCCTTTAGTCCTTCAGGAAAGCTGTTGCTACGATCTACTGTTCCGCAACGGTATTAGTGCACACACACATTTGCCCAGTAGTTGGTAGAGCTGTGCTGGAACAGAAATGCATACAAGTATGAGTGCAAGGTACTATCAAAGAAGGCTGTAGCTCATCTACGATACAGTTTCCAGAGAGAAGGACGTCGATTGATTATTGACGCTAATAAATGCGTGGGAATATTATTCAAGCTCAATGGACGAAATAACGAATCCTGGGTGGCAAGTTTCTGCTTCAATCAGTGTTGGAGGAAGAGGGATTCAATTTGCGGCTAAATCGCAATGACTCTAGCCCATATGCGAACCCTAGACAGTTTCTGGCACATGGTACTCATCTACACAATTTATCCATAGACGAAGCTGCTGGTGTATATTTACTACTTTTGATAGCATCGTCTAATTCTTCCATTTGTTATATACGTACAGAAATCCAGTCATGGTTGGAGGAGCTGTTTCCCTTGAACAACAAATGTACTTACTCATTATCATTAGTTCGCTCACCTTTCACTAAGGCTTTGTTGGTAGCAGTCATGCAGGTAATCCGTCGTTGGCAGTTTTCAGTTCTCAAACGTCTGTCACCATAGAGCTCTATCAACAAAGTAAAAAGGGCGTCAATCAAAAGAGTTCCCAGGTGATAACCATCATAATAATCAAAGTATAAAGCAAGACTTTCGTGGGTGAATTTGCGCGCGACGAAGCATGCACTGGGTGAACAAGTCACATACCGGTCTATCGTATGTTTATAGCAGCAGACCGGCAGTGTTTTATCCCCAAGGCATGGTCTTCAAATCGCCAGGCGTTGATCAATATATGGAGCTCGACATGTAGCGCTAGCCTTACTCTGTGATTCCTCATCCTCTTTGTCTCACTCAGTTTAGCGCCTGCTTTGCAGTCCTTGCGAGCATGCTCTAGCGTTCGGAAATGGCCCCCGTGAATGGGGGCTAAGTTGGTTATTACTAATATTGCTGAGTAGTAAATCTCCGCAGTTGCAGAAACCATGCATTGGGTTGTAGTGTGGATGATTCTATTTCCATCAATTGCTGCTTCAACCCTGGATGCATAGCCCCCATCTACCGCTTTGGTTCACATGTCAGACATAGGTACTTATGCATGAAGTGTATGTTCCTTAATGGCCCTATTTATAGGAAGATGAAGCTCATCGTTGATCGTCTGTGAGTAGCATGCCTCAGCATGGCGACGGTCTGGAATCATAATGTGTGGGAAATACATAAATCGTCGTATTCTACTTTTACATCAAGTGCTACTAAGTTGATGTCATCATAGATTATTTCACATATAGAGAATAGAACTCGAAGTCTCTTCTCCGTAACTGCTTACATTGAAAACGCATGGAAAAATTAAAGTAAGATTTCCCTCTTCCGTAAATCCGCAAAAGAATACTGTTCTAAGCTAAGTTTAGGGGCACATATCCGAGAATCCCTGATCGTTGCCTGCATGATATGTATCGTACAGCCAAGCAATCGGTACAGGATTATGTAGGCCGCAGATATATACTCTCATTGCTGGATTTATTCCAAAAACAAGTATTGGAAAGTGCTTATTAAACTAATACCTCCGCAACGAAGTAGTTATTTATCCCAGCAGCCTGTGTAAACATGGCTCAGCTTAGGTACCAGTCTACCTATGCCTTTGCAATCTTCGGGAGAATGGTTTCCCGAAAGATATGATTTATACATTCTGAAACAGATGTCCGTGTGTAAATTCCAGATAAAGTAAGTCGAATGAACATAGAAGTCTCTAGTGATTACACGAAATCACGATATCCTGTAACACCAACTTGTTCGCTTCATTGTGCGCGTATACGGATACCGCAGAACCAGATCTTACGTGGGGTGATGTACAAGTATGCCAATATGGTAAATTAAAAAGCGACCCTACTTTGGTAGCGTATTTATTGATTCTATTGCAAAATGAAACATTAGACGGTAGAATGCGATCCGACTGGTATAGAGAGTATGGCCGGTAAAGCGATCTAACTCCCCAGCCCCTGGATGTTGCCCTCGTATATATGGCTAATAGAAGAGAGAAATAGCCCAGTTGCGGAGAAGCTACTGGGCTATGCAACTTTTCCGTTGGTATCCACACATCCGATGTGAGCGACTGCAAAGTAGCTTTCGGTCCCACTCATGACTCTCAACGGTCATGATGCCGAGTGCTGATTGGAACGAGCATTTTCCTGTTTCAGCAGATACCTATTAATAAAGCTTGAACGCTAAAGCAAGCTGGTTGTCAAGGTCAAATACCTTGTTCTCAACTCACATAAAAACACTCGATCTAAAACTAAGCAGCTGACAGCTATCGCTTCGCGCTTCTCAAATAGAACGCATCGAAAACGTACAAAAGTGCAGGATAGGTGACGCAACTGTCAGAAGCTGTAGTCTTAATCGAGGCAGTTGTGGTGACTAGAGGTAACCACCGCTGTGCCCAATGAAGCAATACCTTTTTCTTTTTCTTTTCTTTCTTGCTAAAGAGAAACAATATGGTGCACAGTTGACCAAATAAACGAAAGATAATAAACAGTCTGTTTTATTTTCACAGTCTTTATCCAATGTACAGATGCCCACTCATATGCGCGACTCAGCTCAGCTTTCTATTACTACCGGCAACCCCTAGCACGCTGTGTCTTCAGGCGCCGCGCCTTGCCGTTCGGTTAGGAGTAGAAGTGGAGCGCTTCTTACCACTCCGTAGATTAGATTGGCTCGTGCTCACAAGCGATGAGGAATACGGGGCTTGGGTCTGTTGCGATGGAACTAGATTATACCGCAACACACAAAACAGGCGCTCATGATTGGAAGATCACGGTGTGTTTTTGATCCGAAGCTGGGATCTAGTCTTCTACACCTTGCCAAGCAAAGCCTAATCTCTGTCAGCGCCATGTTTTGGCACCTTCTGAAGTGGCGTCTTAGTGTGAATACTCTATGCCGCCCTCGCCGGATTCACAGTGACAATTGAAACTAAGCCCAAAGTGAAAACTAAGGAAAGAAAGAAAGTGACCCCCAACCTGTGGAGGCGAAAAGATCTGAGCAAACAGATTAAAACGGCGCTTAAGGTCGACGATTTCAGAACTGGTAGTTGTATATACACCCTTTTAAGCGTTAGTTGTAGCAAGCTCCTGCGTTCAAGAAACCACACTCATGGAAGAGCATCTCAACACGTTCGTGGCCGCAAACTCTAAAGAAAAAGGGAAGCAGCCGCTTAGCATACGGTTCCTTAACCTGACAAACCCGAATGATGCTACCAAATCAGACGCACTCACAGCTATCCGCTCTCATGTGGCGAGAAACACCCATGGCCGCAAGCAAGAGAGTCGCCGGACGCACCTAGAGATTCGCCAGTACCGTCCCGCTACTCGGGGAAACAAGACGAATAATGTCTGGTCACCAGGCAAGACGGGCACACAGCTGAGTCGAAAAACTTCAGAAGTCAACTTACCAGTAGTACGTCAGAAGAATCAAGAGAGAAATAACCTATCTAATCGGCCGGAATGATAGGTACCCAACCCACAAACCTTTGTGACATCTCATAGAAGGAACCCCTTCCAGACCACTTTTAGGAATGTTACAGATTCCGAAGATTCTTTGATCGATCACTGTAAGTATTATCGTGGAGGTTTATTTTCATCTTGCTGTAGGTGAAAGTTGTAGTTATAGCAACTGCTAATCAGCTGTAGATATCACCTATGTCATAGATCACGGTTATACAGATTGTATCCATAATGAGACCGAGCAATTACTTCTTCAAAACGTTCGATCGCGCTTTGTACCATGGTCGCTCACGGAACGGGGCCTACAAGCCGGTCTATTAATGGCAGCCTGTCGAAGTCTACTGACTTTACATCCCGAGAATGAAACATACAAAGTTTCATTACTCAAATATAAGAGCGAATGTATCGAGATACTTCGCGCTGCACTTTCGAATCCAGACCACTGTATTAGTGATCATACAATTGCCCTAGCTTTAGTATTATCCACCGAAGAAGTAAGTCTTCCCACCAGAGCTGTGCCCGTTTTCTTCGTTGAGAATCGTTCCTCACACAATGGAAATTTCCACCAGTTTCTCTCCGGTAATGTTATCGAATATCGGCTACATGGTGACGCGATTCTCAGAATGGTTCAGCTAAGGGGCGGATTCAAAGACCTTGGTCCAGGGGGCCTACTGGGATATTTATTGGCGAGATCAGTCTATAACCCGGTCTTTCAATTCGTGGATGGCCCTGATGCTACAGCATTGGTAGCACAATGAGTTCAGTCGATACAGTCAGGAAACAGTTAGCATATTTGCAGTATATGTGCGTAGTACAATGTCCAATAATGATCATCCCATCAAGATCCGTATACGTTGTTCAGACCAATGATGATACCCACCCCAGCATCATTCCCCTCTTTAACACGGAAGACACAACGGTTTTGTTTAGAGATGTGTCTTTATTGCCAATAAGTCGGCGCTAAATTCAGAGCTATCAAGCTTCAAATTACCAAAATAGATTGACCCGTAGGAGCGGTACAGAATTTCTGCTTGGGATAAATGCGCAAGTGCTGTAGTGTAGCATCTTAGGTAAACTACGCTATCGCTAACTCATCAACGAGGCCCGAAGCGGCTTACGTACGTGCCTAGAAAAACGGAGTCGCGGATCGATCTCACCTGTGGATGGTTTTCTTACGCAACGCAACCTCAGCGCATCAGCTCAGCGGCGGTTCCACTGACCATCGCTCTCTAAATACCGCAATCAACACTTTTGTTCAAATCCGAAGCCATGTCAAGCAATATCAATGGTATGTTGGCAGTAAAGGCGCCAGAGCTCCAAAGAAACAAGTTACAAATGCCGCTTGATAGAACATACCAACAGCGATGATTACGAGATTGTGCGTAAGATTGGTAAGCATACCGGTGCCAGCTACTATGTATATAGTTTATTCTGACGTATACTCATGTGAAAAGGCACTGGAAAACACGCGGATCTATTTGAAGGGGTCCGTGTAACAGACTATACAAGATGTATCCTCAAACCTGCCAAGCAAGTGGGGAGGGACAGGATAGAGCGAGAAGTCAATATCCTTCGTTCCCTTAGAGGGGGTGTTAATATCCCTTTGCTATATGATGTTATTCGGTACAGTCCGGTATGCTAGCCCATGATGATATGATGATGCATCAAACAGTATTAACGAAGAACACTTATTCGGTGAGCTGATAGCTGGAACTACCGTCATTGGCCCTCGAATACGTGGAGAACATCGACTTCCGGAGTTTGTATCCTAAACTCAGCAGTGATGATGTTCGATATTACATCAAAGAACTGCTGAAAGCTCTTCAATTTTCTCATAGCAAAAGTATAATGCATAGAAACATTCGACCTCACATCATCAGGATTGATCCGACTCAGCGAAAGGTGATTACCATTCCTCATATCTTGGCCACATTATGCGCTATAACATGAACAGAAGCTTACATGATGCTAGTTATGTCTATTCGGCTGGGACTATGCAGAGGTTTATGAGCCCAACTCGCTATATAGCGCCCGCGTCGGCGCAGTGTTTCACAGAGCCCCCGAGTTGGTGCTATACCACGAACGGTATGACTTGAGCGTAGACATGTGGAGCGTAGGGGTCATGCTTGCTTCTATGACCTTTCGAAAAGAGCCATTCTTTCATGGAGCAGGTATTTCTCTTCAACTTGAGAGAATGGCCAGGGTGTTGGGTACCAATGGTCTACTTAACCTTGTGGAAAAATATGACATAGAAATGCCTCCAGTTGGCCTTGAAGATATCCCATACTTTGAAAAGGCACCCTGGCAGAATCTGTTCAACGAAGATAATGAGAGATACGCAAGCGCTGAGGTGGTAGATCTGCTAGATAAATTGCTTCGTTGGGATCCTGAGGTAAGAGACGACCGGATGGTTTCGTCAGAGTTGACAGGCTTTTACTGATATTTATATCTGCAGGAAAGGATAACTGCTGATAATGCATTGAGACACGCATATTTTGGCTAAGCAATCATTTTTGTCGCTGATATTTCCATGTTTTTACAAGTTTGATCAAGTACATCTTCTAAATGGAAACTAAATACCATGACTCCAATTTCGACCTTGAAGCAATTTTTAGAGGTTTTGTTGTTCGGAAATTTAGCCAAGTAGATTGCATTCTGTAATTATTGTAAGGCTATGTACTTATTGCACTGTCTTTTGGAATGAATGAATTTGCGACCGGAAAATGCTTGGGTTTATTTGTGAGTCAGTCATGCAAATAACCGAGATGCTATCGGTAGAACGTCAGGAAGTGAGTCTGCCAGGCGTTCTGCCAGCATATCCATAAATTCAAGGCGCAGAGCTTCAGGTACGCATAATGAAACAGACCCAATAGTGAGACTCCATATTAAGAAAAAGTTATCAGACTCCCATGAGCTGAGCATGTCGAGGCTCTTCAATGTGTATAACAGTTTCTGGGCAAACGATATGGCCCCGGTGTTGTCCATCCCAAATTTTGCGCGAACTTCGCTAATGTATAGGATACCAGCTAATCGAAAACATTCCCTTCGCATTGAGAATTTATTAGCCATATCATGCGTAACTCGAGGCAGCGATAAGAGATCATAAAGGATTGGAGCTAGATGAAAGCCCGGGAAGAGGACAGTTTGCCAAAATACGTCGCCTTTGGCATGCGCTTCGGTATTTATGAGAGAATTGACCTGCTGTAGAGCCTCAAATATGTGCGCCACCACTGGATCTTGACTTAGCAAGCTATTGCTATCCAAATGTTCGGCAGTGGGCATCGGTGCGACTCGGATTTTACTCTCTGCTGATAGAATCTCAAACGGCTGTGGATAACGCGGTTTTCTGTCTTGCAGATAGCTACCCCGGACATCAATCCTAGCATAGTAATGAATTAAATCCTGCTGACAAGATGCAAGAAACATAACATACCAATACATCATTATTTGAATGACAGGCAAATGCCGGAGTGTTGCTAGGCCACCAACACTGGTGATGGCGTGGGAAAGCCCGTCAAGGTGGACATTGATCAATTGCGGGTTGCTAGTCAAATTCTGACCGCATTTAGCATGATAAAGCGCAGCAATCTGGGTGGTTCAGCAAACACATACTGCGAAAGCCGCAAACGCAAGGATTGCTGTGATGGTCTCGAGACTAGCCCGTTGAACAGGATCATCCAACCTGCGTCGTAATGCTCTGGTAGCCATTAAAGAGTATCTAGCATAATCTATGCTGCTTTCATCGTGTTCGGTGCTTGTACTCTTCATATGCCACGCGGAAGAAGATAGCATTTGGGTAAGTGATGCAGAGCCCTGTAACAGATTGAGAAATCCGATTTCAATCATCGATTTGAAGACAACACAGCCTCCATATACTGTAGAAAGTTTATGAGCAAGAAAAAATAAAAGAGTTAACGTGTAGAGAAGAACGGACAGTGATTCCACAGTTGACGAGCTCTTGGTCTCTGGTCTGCCGGCACCAACGCAAAAATGTTCGCGCTGTTCTCTGCACTGATAGGATTAAATTCATTGGTGTCCATATGTATCATTTCGCTAGACTGCAACACAGGCTGCATCCCCGGCTCCAGCGCTTCATGTGGCGACCTGGGTGCTACTTCATCCGACAACGCCTGTAGCCATGACCCGACATCTAGGTCAACGGTCAAGGCATTCCGAGGAGGAGGAGGGTTGCGCCGACGATAATCAGCTTGCGCACGACTCCTCACGCGCCGCCGTGTTTCTGCGTTGCCGCGAATGTTTGTCCCAGACACAGAGATGAACTCGAACTGTGGACGGCCGGCACTGGGGCTGCCCTGCTCTTGGCCTAGAATGGTTGGTTAACGAAGCGTCCTAACCGGTTTACAGAGTCCATGTTTTAACTTACCCTTGCTTCCAGGCATTCTGCAATATCACACACCAAGTAGTCTCAATAGAAAAGTTTTACTCTCAAGAAACAATGTTATTCACAATAGATAAGCATGAATTAGAGAGAGCGCTGAACAGGCGCCTTGACTACTGAATAGAGACCGGAATTTAAGGCTGCTCCACTTAACCCGGCGCTTTGCTTACATGGCGCTGTTTAGTAAGTATTGCCTCAAAGTAAGCCTGTTAGACTATCGCCTGTCTTTCGCCCTTAGTCGTTTCCTCGTAGCTGACTCATTGAGTTTACAAGTGGCTTTAATGCTTGCACGTTTCCAGTATATGTTCAGCATTGTCTGGTTTAACGAGGCGACAACCCTTTGCTCACTGATAGAACTGGTAATGAATGATGGCGGCAGCACACTGCTGAAAGCTTGGAAAATGTGAAGAAAATCGCAACATTCAACATTCACAAAAGAGAGTTCCTATAGGATAAGTTATTAATTGAATTTATTCATAAGTCTAGACCTCATCTACAGTTGGTTCACAATTTAGCCGAGAAATTGCGCCACTTCCTTTGCGATCAGGTCTCCGTGACTCTCCACCGCAAAATGGCCTGCATCGAAGAGTTTGATGGTTGCGTTGGGCAAATCCTTTTTAAACGCTTGAGCTCCAGCTGGGATGAAGAACACATCGTTTTGCCCCCAGATGGCTAAAAGAGGCACCTGAGAGTTTCGGAAGTATTCCTGAAACTTTTCGTATAGAGGAACGTTGTTTTGGTAATCCATGAAAAGGTCAAGTTGCGCGTCTATTCTCCCCGGGCGCTGCAGTAAAGCATAGTCCAGCGTATAAGTCTCTGGTGCAACCGTTTTCAAGTCTGGGGTGCCATTCTCATATTGAAACTTGGTAATATCGAAATTCAACATGGCGCCCGCAATCTTGGAACGATCATCTGCGGTATTCTTGCTAGCCCAGAAATCCTTGATCGGCGCCCAGACATCACCAAAGCCTTCTACATAGGCGTTTCCGTTTTGGGTGATGATTCCTTCCACCGATTCAGGGCGGCGTAGTGCCAGACGGAGGCCAACTGGAGCCCCATAGTCAAAAACGTAGACTGCGAATTTGGAGATGGAAAGTGAGTCTAGAAATTCAGCGACAACGTCTGTAAGAGATTCAAACGTGAATTTGAAACCTTCAGGAGTGTCTGTAAATCCAAAGCCAGGCAAGTCAGGGGCAATGACGCGATATTTGGTAGCGAGTAAAGGAATAATGTCGCGATACTGATGTGATGACGAGGGGAAGCCGTGGAGAAGCAGAAGAGTTTTGGAAGGGTTTGCAGGACTCTGCTCTCGATAGAACACATTCACACCACTCTTGGGAAGTGCGATACGAATATTCTGTGTTGAGGCCATTTTGCTTCCGTTGAGTCCTATGGTGTATTTTTTAGATCTGATGAAATATTGTTGCGGTTGCTGTTTCTCTTGTTGTGCTGTTGGTGAATTGGATGCTTCTGGCTTTGTTCTACAGAGAAGGAACTTGGATCCTTTTATCGTATACGAGGCTATAGCTAAAACTCTATCTCTGTCGCTGGGGTAGCTCTCACCAAGGTTTCCTGTCTATTGCTTCAATCAATTAGCCGCCTCTGTAGTTTGGAATTACTGATGGATGGTTTAGAAGAACATGAACACTTACGTCAGTCGCTAAACCGCATGGGGAAAATGCTGCTTCCCCTGCCTACATACGTGTGTGCGCTAAAGACGATATGGGCTCAATCACGTAATCTCGGGAGAAAATTAAATGAAAAAGAGAGAGAAAAAGGACAACAAATGAAGAAAAATAAAGAACGCTAATAATAGTCATGATGAAACGAACTTACAACAACCACAGCTCAATCAAGACAGTGCTAAAATTTTTATCTAGCTCTCGTCAATGGACAAATCATTTCGGTGCTTCGGAGCTTAGGCGACTGCGCCAATCTGAGGTTCAATAAACAAAGGACATTCCTAGCTGGAGCATCCGGAATACTACATCTCTCGATGAGAATTACTTGGAAATCTGGACTTGATAAGTCAAAGTTTCACTAATCATTCATAGACGCCACTAAGTTACCATCGCCTTATAAGACGGTTCAGCAACTCGATACGGCTTCTCATCCATTCCAATACTACTTCTCAAGCATCTATTGCTCGCGAGGCCGGGCGACTTAGCCCACGAATTAACCATTTGTGAGGTATGAAGATGGCCAAATTTATAACTTTATTAGGACTAGCTTTAGAGCTTTAAGAGAAGGCCTTTGACAAAGCACCGGGCGCACCCTTTGTAAGGGTCTCGAAGCTCCACAGTCCCTGCGGAGATGTGTAGCCACTAGAACAAATATAGTGAATGCTGACCCCGAACTGTGATGCTAAGCTCTGACGCTAACAGCGCGGTCAGTTCCGGGTACGCCAATGGCTTCTTGACGGTTACATCACTCGTATGTTAGCTATGCTAAACTGTTGTAGTTTGAAAAGATAGGATTTGTCAGGTTAAGAATTTATGCAGAAGGTATCATCGCAAATTTAATTGCGCATATGCAAATTAGGAACAGCGGTGTTCTAGTCCTTATGGCAGGTAGGTATATATATCTCTGCATCTCTGCATGGACACATAACTATATGTTTCTCAATATTCTTCACGCATATCTTTCTCCTTGACACAACTTGAACAAATTCAACACTTCCAATCAAAACAATATATCATTAACTCACTCTCAATAAAACGCCATGTCAGAAACTATGGAGGCTATTGTGATACCGAGATTCGGTGGACCCGAGGTCCTTGAGATCCAAACAGTCCCTAAGCCAGAACCTACTGCTGGCGAAGTGCTGATCAAAGTCCATGCTTTTGGCGTAAACCACGCGGAGATGCACATGCGAAAGGGCGAATGGGACGAGTGGAACCCCATCACTGGCCTAGAGTGCGTCGGGATTGTCGAAGCTTGTCCAGGCGGCGAGATAGATGTCGGCACCCAGGTGATTGGTGTGATGGGAGGTATGGGCAGAAACCGCCCCGGAGGATACGGATCATTCGTTAATACCCCAATCTCGAATGTGGTGCCCATCAAGACAAACCTTCCTTGGGAGCAGTTGGCCGCTATTCCGGAAGTCTATTCGACGGCATACTCTTGCTTGTTCACGGTTCTCGACCTAAAGGCTGGTGAAACACTCCTCATACGCGGATCTACCTCGACAGTCGGCCAAGCAGCGCTCAACTTGGCTGTTGATGCTGGAGCTCGGGTCACAGCTACGACGCGGCGAACAGAAAGATTTGAAGAGATAAAGGCGAGGGGAGCTGTGGACGCCAAGCTGGAGCACAAAGATCTCCAGTCAGAGTTTCCTAGCGGATTTAAGTTTGATAAAGTCTTGAACTTGATCGGCAACAGTGTATTAGTTGAATCTATCAGCCTGGCTCGGCCCGGTGGACGTATGCTACAGGCTGGGTGGCTGGGTGGACTGGCACCAGTGGTTGATTTCAATCCCATGGTCGAGATGGAATCTGGAGTGCACTTCAGCTTATTCCACAGCAAAGTGTTGGGTACACCTGGATTCCCCCTTTCTAATATTCCTGTTCAGGAAATTGTCAGTAAGATTGAGAGAGGAGCATGGGACGCTAAGCCAGCGTTTGTTTTTGAGTACAACGAAATCCACAAGGCGCATGAGATGCTGGATTCGCATAATGCGGGAGGAAAAATCGTTGTCAAACATTATTAGAGGAACTATACCAATATAAAAGTTAATTGTTTTAGTAGAACACAAATCACAAAACGTCTTTTACTTTTAGTAAAGAGCATATTTACAGGCTTTTTAAATATAGAAATTATCATTGATTTACTTTCTACACTATAATTGAGCATGGTCGAAAATGTAAGTTGACCACCACTTATCTCGTTTATAGATGGGCACCTCAGAGACGAACTTCAAACCGGCCAACGCTCGTACAAACGTAACCTCGGAAGTCGAGCTCAGCGCATCTCACTGCTTCTAGAACTATAAAGCGAGAACAAGTCACAGGAATATTCGATCTAACCGACATGTAAGTTTTGCTGGGAAAAGCTGAGTGAGGGAGCTGGCCGTTGTGCTGGTTTTAACGCCGCATCTAACCGTTCAATCTACCCGGCATGTTGACCGCGCCCTGCGCAAGACTGGCAGCCGCTGGAATCTGCGTAGTGCTTATACACTGATAGAATCTGTTATATAACCAAGAAACTTGGCTGCTAGGAGAAGAACAGCTGGAGCAAGAAAATATCCGCAGAAAGGAAAAGCCGTCACAACGCAATATGAAGATTGGATTCCTAGGACTGGGCGTGATGGGAACGCCCATGGCGCTCAATCTGTGCCGCAAATTTCCCACCACGGTTTGGAACAGAACGGCCTCTAAATGCGCGGCGTTAACGCAAGCAGGTGCTGCGCTCGGTCACACTCCAGCCAAAGTGGCAGAACAATCCGACATCATATTTATGATGATGTTCAACGGGCCTGCTATACGATCTATAATTGACGACGACTTCAAGCGAGCGCTTAAGGGAAAGACGCTCGTCAACACCAGCTCAGTGTCTGTGGAGTTTAGCCGCAGCCTGGCAGAAGAGATCCGCGACGCAGGAGGGAAGTTTATCGAGATGCCTGTCAGCGGAAGCAAAGTGCCGGCCGAGCAAGGCACCTTGGTGGGAATGATGGCGGGCGATCAGATTGAGTGCGAGCGCATCCGGCCTTTCGTGGAGCCGATAACCAGCGCAGCCATCTACTGTGGGCCTATCGGCGCGGGCTTGAAGACAAAGTACGCGGTCAACATCTTTCTCATCACGGTTACGGCTGGCCTTGCCGAGTCGATGAATCTGGCCCGCGCACAGGGCCTTGATCTTCAAGCGTTCAGCAGTGTGCTGGATGCGGGCCCTATGGCTTCTGCTTATTCCAAGATGAAGCTGGCCAAGATGGCCAAGCAAGATTGGTCTGCCCAGGCGGCTGTGAAGGATTGCTACAACCTCACTGAGCTTATCCAAGATGCCGCAAAGGCTGCGGACGCAAAAACCCCTCTTATGGAGGTGTGCAACTCTCTATATGGACAGGCAATGGAATCTGGTTTCCAAGATGAGGACATGATTGCTGTTTACAGAGTCTTTTCAGGCGACAAGAAGGGCAATTTGTAAGAGCCATTGTGCTGAACTGTCACAAAACCACGTGGGACGCTCGTGAGAATTGGGGCAGTGCTTTCACGATCAGGCAAGTTAAAAGCGGCATTTTCAAGCAAGCTCTGCAACTAATGTGGGATACGGAGAGCTGCCACTGCTATAAAAAATATGATTATTTCACCCAAATATCGGTTGTTTGGGCCGGGAAGTTATCTTTACCACGAGGTCTTACGAAATGGCTGCTTCAAGTGCAAATAGCGGAAATCTACGTGTATGTACACTTATTGTAATACACCGTGCTCTTAGTAGTAGCACCCGTTAGGGTTACCGAACCGGAGCATTTTGCAGGTTATTTTAGTCTAGTAGCTTACTGTTTAGACGGAAAACGAATCAAAGCCCTGCTTTTTGCCATGTTTTCTCCGGTTAAATTGTCTTCCCACAGCGATGGATCCAACATTGGTCCTCTGTTGGCTAATGGATAAACACATCGTATGGGGTTTTCGCAGGATATCTACAGCAGTGTCAAAATGTATGACGAAAAGCGCCATGGAATAGGTCTTCCCGTGGAGAAGCTTGTTGGCAGCTGAATTGACAGCCAGCTGAGTTAGACCTCTTTGTGGACCGACACTGCGCGTCAAGGCTCTCGTTTGCGCGGGACGTGCAAAAATGATGCGGAGGGCGATACAGATTGGATGCACGTATAAAGTTTCTGGCACGGCAATATTTCACATGAAGTTTTCTTTTGGAGGGAGTCTCTAGGCCGACATGCTCTTCGAAAAGAGGGTTTAATCCGAGGTCAAGATACAAGTAAGCAAGTCAATAAGTAAACGAGTGGTTTCTTATCGTGTCGCAGAGTCTGCATATAAATTTCAGCCTAGCCTACCTATATGTTTGCAAAAAGTTCCTGTCCATCTCAGATACTGGCAGCGAGAGGTGATATGCAGGACTCGGACGCGCTTTGCCCAGAGTTTTCATGCCGAGTTTCCGGCTCATTTACAAAAAGACCTTGACTGTATGCAAGGGCCAAGATAGCTAGGCTCCACATCCGTTGGCCTCTTCTCGCAGGGTCCGTCCTAGCAGTCTTGCCTTTGCACGTGCAGTCTGTCACTCTATTGGATTGGACGGGACTTGTCCACATTATATACGGAAAATGTTGCTGAGAATCGGATCGGATCCGAAACATGCCTGTACTAATGTGACCATGATAGGCCTCAAGTGGCAGGTGGAAGATAGCGGAAGAGATAGATCCATAGCCGTGCTGATGCTTCAGCGGATTGGGGTATTAAAAGCCCCGGTTCCTCGACCATGTTGCTCCTGTGGCTTGCTGGAACCTGCGAGGTGCTGCTTGGCTATTTCTCCTTGGCTGCTTGGTACCCACCTGGTCTCATTGGTGTTGGATAAACGAAAGGCTCCCCGTTCAGAATGAAGTCCGCCTCAACCAATGCTCTGCTGGGAGCGCTTCTCGCCGTAGCGGCAGAGGCTGCGCCGACCGTTGATGAGCTTTACCCATACACAGGCCCAAAGGTCCCTGTGGGCGACTGGATGGACCCGACTGTCAAAGGCAACGGCAAGGGATTCGTACGCCTGGTAGAACCGCCCGCCGTGAAGCCCGCATCTTCAAACCCGACCAACAATGTCAATGTCATCTCGGTCTCATATATACCAAATGGCATCAACATCCATTATCAGACGCCCTATGGCCTGGGAGAGTCTCCCTCTGTCAAATGGGGATCTGGCGCTTCTGAGCTCAGCAACACCGCTACTGGTAAATCTGTGACGTATTGACGCCTCTCACCATCTTTTATAAACATATATACACAGCATTTAACATAAGTGGAACAGATATGGTCGCACTCCTTCTTGCTCGACTGCTGCCACAACTCAGTGCAGCGAGTTCTTCCATGATGTGCAAATTACCAACTTGAAATCTGGAACAACCTACTATTACCAGATCCCTGCAGCTAACGGTACCACTGCATCGGATGTTCTCTCATTCAAGACTGCAAATGAAGCGGGAGATTCTTCGGCGTTTACCATTGCCGTCATCAATGACATGGGTTACACCAACGCTGCCGGAACGTACAAGTACCTTAATGAAGCTGTCAACGACGGCACTGCATTCATCTGGCACGGAGGTGACTTAAGCTACGCGGATGATTGGTACTCGGGAATACTTCCATGCCAAAGTGACTGGCCAGTGTGCTACAATGGCACATCCACCCAGCTCCCCGGTGGCTCTGTCCCAAAAGAGTATGATGCTCCTCTGCCAAGTGGTGAAGTTCCCAACCAGGGTGGTCCCCACGGCGGCGACATGAGCGTGTTATATGAGTCGAACTGGGATCTGTGGCAGCAGTGGATGAACTCTCTCACTCTCAAAGCACCTTACATGGTGCTTCCAGGAAACCACGAGGCCAGCTGCGCAGAATTCGATGGCCCCGGAAATGTCCTGACAGCTTATTTGAACGGAGACAAGGCTAATGCAACAGCGGCAAAATCTTCACTCACCTATTACAGCTGTCCTCCTTCACAGAGGTATGTTGCATATGACCTGGAGCAGAAGACTCGCTCGTCTTGGCATGATCTAATCGACGTGCATCAGAAACTTCACCGCCTTTCAAAACAGATTTCGCATGCCCGGAGGTGAGACGGGAGGCGTTGGAAACTTTTGGTACTCTTTCGACTACGGCTTGGCTCACTTTGTTTCTCTTGATGGAGAAACCGACTACCCCAACAGCCCCGAATGGCCATTCGCCAAAGATGTGAAGGGCAACCAGACGCATCCTTGGGCCAACCAGACCTATGTTACCGACAGTGGTCCATTTGGCAGCGTTAATGGTAACTACAATGATAAAACAGCCTATGCGCAATATCAATGGTTGAAGAAAGACCTGGAGAGCGTGGACCGCTGCAAAACACCTTGGATCATTGCCATGAGCCACCGCCCGTTTTATAGCTCTCAAGTCTCATCTTATCAAGCAACCATCCGTGCAGCCTTTGAGGATTTGATGCTCGTGAATGGCGTTGATCTTTATCTTTCTGGGTATGTTGAGAGTGAGCAGCTATGTAAATCTTGGCGGCGTCTACTCACCTACTAAACATAGGCACATCCACTGGTATGAACGCCTGCTTCCCCTTGGAAGCAATGGCACTATCGATGAAGCCTCTGTCATCAATAACAACACCTACTGGACAAACCCCGGTGTTTCAATGGCTCATATTATCAACGGAGCTGCGGGAAATATTGAGAGCCACAGTACCCTGGGCTCGGACCCGTTGTTGGATATCACCACTTACCTTGATCAAGCAAACTACGGATTTGGTGGATTAACCATTCATAATGCTACAACTCTTTCGTGGAGCTACATCCACGGCTCGGATGGTACGGAGGGCGATAAGCTAACTCTATTGAAGCGAGTTTCGGCTGGAACATGCAGCCCCCCGAGCTCCTCTTCTGCAGCTGTTTCAAGTGCAGCAACTTCTGCGCCGACGTCCATCGCAGCATCTTCGTCTGTGCCTTCAGGCGCTACTACGGTAACGGAGGTTGTCACAAGCTACACGACATACTGCCCAGGCAGCACAACTTTCACGGCTGGATCCAGCACTTACACAATTACAGAGGCAAGTCGTATCTCAACACTACCCGCTGCCAGGCATCAGTCGACTTGCCGTTATTAACCTGCTCATAGGCTACGACTCTCACTATCACCGACTGTCCCTGCACGCTGACTCACACCGTCTCAAGTGGGGCCACAATGTGAGTTATCCATTCTTTCCGCATGCCATGACGTTTAAAGAGCAACCTTCTAACTGACAGCTACCTTATGTAGTACCACCGAAAGTATCCCGGTCGCTGCTACGACAGGGGCTGAGCCCTCGTCACCGAGCTGGAACAGCACTTTGCCTACTGGAGGAGCGCCAGCGACTACAACTGGAGGCTCAGTCGCCCCCACCGTGCCAGTCAACAGCAGTGGATTCCGTACGATGGCTTTGCCAAGCATTACTAGTTTTGTGTTAGTCTTGTTGACACTGTGGTAATGCATCTTACCAACAAAAGGATGCCGTAATATTCGATTATATAAAATATAATGTAATACCGTCTATTCTTCTATTCTCCTCCACTTTCGTCGTTGTAATGAAAGAATCGATGTTCTTTACACTTTAAGAGAAGTATGCAAACTTGAATTATGTGCGTATATGTCCTATATTATATCCATCTCTATATCTGTTTCCTTCCCCCCTCTCCCTGCCATGACATTAATTTACCCCTACTTTGACACTAGACACAGCTTGTGAGGGACTAACTCGGCCTTCGCTGCAGTACTATGCTTTACGGAAAAAAAAGTCCGCTGCTAGATACCTTGCGGAAAAAATAGTCCACTACTACCTTGCCAGAAAAATAGTTTACTACCTGATGAGTAAACTACTTATTTTCAGCTTCAGCTGCACTAGTATACGACGGTATACGAGGAAAATCATTCTAAAAAAGGCAATAATCTCTCAGCGTCCCTTGCACTGCTTACTCGAAGATACCTCTTGGCAAAGCGTTTCTCAAAGATATGGGCACGACAGCACACTGCATTAGCTTTTAGTATTTTGGGCTCGATCATTCATACATTTATTCGGGCAGAGTAGTCGCTATTGCATTTAGCATACTAAACATTAAGTATACTTTACCATGTGAAACATTCAATCTCAAAGGCCAAGAGTTGGCATGATAGCCAAAGGAATGTTTGATACTATGAGTGAAATGTTCAAATGGTATTACATCATGTGTCAGGTCTAGCTAATGCAACATATATCGAGATCTAGGGGCACATTGACTCCAGAAAATTTCTTACACCGATACCACCTCAAGTGTCGTAATACAGCATTACATCGAGCTACACGGCATATGAGTTATTTATTAGTCATTGTTATTTTTTTTCGCAAACTCTCTCAACTTCCCACTGGCATATTAGTCGTATCAGTCGTATTACTGATCATAGGTACTAATTATCTCAGGGTAATAGATTATTTCTCCATATGTGACGAAAAAGATGTTTGGGACATCTTAGGTATATATATATCCAGGCCTATCAGGCAAACCAACTTCCTCCTCATCTTTCAAGACATAGTTTCACCACTAGCGTGTTACACAAGGTCAATATGCTACTAGGTCTTCTTTTCATCTGCGTCGCTATTTGCGATGCGTCACAAAATTTCTCCATTCCGAATGTTGTGGCTTCCTTCTCCAGTACTCCCAAGCCATTCAAGATCAATGTAGATCCTCAATTCATCGAAGACACAAGACGTCGGGTCAAAGCAACAAGAGCTCCTGTGTCTATTGGCGAGGAAGACGACGGCCCGTCGCTCGCGAACTTTACCGCCATTAGAGACTACTGGGTCAATGAATACAACTGGAAGAAAACTCAAGATTCTATCAACCAGAGGTGTGATCTTTTCCACGCATGACAGCAAAGCTATACCGATCATATGTTTTGCTAACACATTTCTAAAGGCTTAAACAATTTACCACTGTTGTAGAAATTACAGACAAAAACACAACAATTCCAGTGCCATTGCACTTTGTTCATCATACTTCACCTAGAGATGATGCAATTCCTCTTCTCTTCCTACACGGCTTCCCAGGCTCGTTCCTTGAGGTCATAAATATCATTGATTCGCTGACGAGTCCTCCGAACGCATCACTACCTGCATTTCACGTTGTTGCTCCATCCCTTCCAGGATTTGGCTTTTCGCCTGCTCCTCAGCATGCGGGTGTTGGTCCTGTGAAATCCGCACAAGCTTTCAACGCTCTAATGCAGAAGCTTGGGTATCCCCAGTACGTTATGCAGGGCGGTGATTTTGGAGGCATGATTCTCCGCTACCAAGCGAACATGTTTCCGAAAAATGTCATCACAGCGCACAGCAATTTCTGGGTCATGATGCCTTCAGAATACGACATTCAGAATCTCATTGTAGGAGCAACAAGCGAGGAGGAGACAGCATTCATCACAACGTGTGAGGCATTTGTCAACAACGATAACGGATTCCGGATGATCCAGCAATCAAAGCCAATCCAAGCAGCTTACGCTCTCACTGATTCTCCAATGGGGAACTGTCTATGGTTATATACTTTGATGCAGCTTATTATCGACCCCAGAGATTTTACTTGGTCACTCGATGAAATTATCACCTGGTCACTCATGTATTACATACAGGGTCCTTATGGCGGGATGCGCATGTATAAGGAGATGTTGAATGATGGGGCATTCATCGGCGTTGATTTTGCAGATCTTCCAATAGTGTCGCAGCCGGTGGCAATTAGCCAATTTCCTTATGACGCTCTAGGATATGGTTTGCCACTCGAGTGGGCAAGGCGAGGGGGGAACGTGGTGAAACGCTATGTTCATGATCATGGTGGTCATTTTGCTGCTTATGAAGTTCCCGATCTTTTGCTGCCCGATATCTGGAGCTGGTTTGGAGATAAGAATACTTCGGGAACGAGTTTCTTCGATTAGGTATGCCTTCGAAACTGAGAATAACATACGAAAACATGATATATGATATATGCAAATAGAAAAATTATGTCCAATGGTCGTGAGGTCTTGCCGTTTGGTGGAACAGAGCATTGTTTGCTGTAGTGCTCTTAAGATTTCATTTGTAGTCATCAAATACAAATCTTTTAGACAGTCGCTGCTGAAATATACAAGAACCAATGGCTATCTTTTTATTACATTAGGTAAACGTGCTTTAGGTAGGAATAAAACGTATTTTTGCTATAATGCAATTAATTTGTGTTATTTCCCAAACTCCGAGTTTCACGTATAGGGTCAGCCGAAACGCGTCAAGACTTTACCTGCAAATCCGCATAACCGCGTAAAATGCAGTAGGCTTCAGTGTAAACGTCGGCTTCCATATGCGCTCATTTCGTACAAATCAACACTTAGAAGTAATAACACAACAGATGTGCTTTGCTCTTTGTAACGGCGATTAAACACATCCAACCGCAACCGGCAACCCACAGCGGCTTTGCATCTCTCGCGCAACTTCAAAGACAAAGACACGTGTAGCAACTTTTTTGCGATTCGCGCATCGGTCCGACAACGATTCCTTCTTTCGTTTCCACCGCCGCTAACAAACAGGCCCTCGGAATCCTGGTCGCTAATCACAGCGCCCGCTGTTCGCCTAAACTAATGTGTGCCGCCGCCTCAGAGAATAGGCGCCTTCTGCGGATCGTTCTAGCGTTGCCAATTGAACTCTGAAGTTATCCACAATATTCATTGTTGATTGATGTTATCAAAGACAGCAGAACTGCCATTTCGTCCGATACATTTATTTCTCATATATAGCGCCGATATGCCGAATAACAGCGAGATCCGATTCGTCCGATAGCTCAATACAGAAGACTCGTTTCGGTGAAATACTGCCGCGTGAAACATACTAGGCCTGAGCTACGTGAATGCCAGACACTCTACGCCCAAGGACGTGACACATTGCTTAGCAACTAACATTGTTCAAAGCCACTGATATGGACTACAGTACGATTAAAGTAATAGTATTGTAATTCGAAAAGATAGCAGAAGAAAACATCCTGCCCTTGCTCTCTAAGAGGATCTTGAAAGTCAACGGGGGATGCTGACAGAAGGAATAGCGCAGATGCCCAAGTCAGAACGGTCGAGCGTTTAATTTTCCTGCTGCCACATGCAATGCGTATTACCTATTCCTTTTATAACAACAATGATCGTACCTTGGAAATCCTACCCTCTAACTCGCCAATCGCAAACTCTTCCTAGATCAAGTGCTATATACCCGAGCTTATAGTAACCATGCTTTTGGGCGATTGTTACATCGGTAGAGACCGGTGTATTGACAGACAGCCGAAAAAGCTCCGCCTCGGTCATCTCTGTCACATACCCTTCTCACTCTGCATATGGTCAAGTTAGCATGAAATGAGGATCAAAGTTCAATTCACTCAACCAAGCTAGCCAGCAGGGTCAATTGCTGATGCAGACCTTTATGCTTTTGTAAGGCGTTGAATAGTTTCTGAGGGAAGACATCGTCAAAATTAATGAGCCAATGTGTTAGAGTCACGTTAGCCCCGTATGTTCAGCGACATACTGCGTATTCATGCACTACGCCAGGGCTGTGGACGACGTTTGTTTCAAGAAACTGCCCGTACTAGCCTATGAGCTAACCCTTCAACGTGCGTTAGTAGAAGTGTAATGTAACAAGATTATACTAGATGCAGTACAGCGCTTGGCTGGAACCGTATTCGTCAAAAGTTGAGATGCCCGGGCATCCTGCTACTCGCACCACAACTTAGCATTAGGAAGGTGCCATTATACTGTATTCCTACTGCTACCTAGCATGCTGCATTTTCTCACATCACATAGCCTCGTCACCGCCTCAGCTGACTCCACATAGCTCGAATCCTACCGGCAAACAACTGTTTTACTGCGATTCTCGCTAAACTTAACGTTTTTCTTATGCTAAAATAACGCTGCCTAAGAGATCCTTGAAGACCCCACAGCGTTAATCCTGACAATATCTTCCCCTGAGATGGAGGTGGTTCTACGGAAACCGTCCGGAGCAGCTGCATGGATGATGTGGCCCACAAATGTGATTTACATATATGGCATTGGGAAGCCTCGAATATATCTTGGTGCACTGAGGAGGATCTATTAAAATCAGGCGATATATATCATTCTTGGTCACCATTCTTGACAATGTCTCTCTTTCGGCAAGCAGTAACATTCCTGACACTAGGATCTCAGGTCTATGCATTTTCGCTGCAAAGCACATATGACTCGAGCAACTTTCTAAATAAGTTCAATTTTCGTGATGTGAGTACGCAGTGTAGCTGAAGTGGGAATACTGCTAACCATCGAACCGGACAGTCTGCTTCTTATTACCCAACCTATCCGGGCGACCCAACTGACGGATCGGTCAATTACCTGAGCAAGGCTGATGCTTTATCCTCTGGAATCGTGAACACAAACAACAACCAAGTCTATCTTGGCGTAGACTCCACCAACAAGGCACAGCTTATTAAAAACAGCCAAACCGTCCATGGCCGTAATAGTGTGCGTTTGGAGTCTGTTGACACCTGGAGCTCAGGTCTCATGATAGCAGATATTGTGCACATGCCAGGAACAGCATGTGGTGTATGGCCGGCATTGTAAGTTGCTAGAAGGCCTCTTCTTGTACTGAAACGCAAGATTGTTAATTTTCATTCTCAGCTGGACATACAACTTCGACGAAAATCCCGTCGGAGAGATTGACATTATCGAGAACATCAACAATCCGACTCAGAATATTGTTTCTCTACACACTTGTGGTCAGTGTACTTTCACCAACATCGGTGGAACGGAGGGAAGATCCAACTGCAACAATGGGGGGACGATATCGCAGCAATGCGAAGACGGGACAAACTAGTTGGTCACCTAAACACGTCTTCAAGCCATGCTCAAGCTGCTAATAAACTTTTCAGTGACGGATGTGGTAATACGATGACCAAAGGCTCCTACGGACCTACATTTAACGCAGCTGGAGGCGGCGTTTATGCTACGTGGCTGGAGAGCGATGCTCTCAAGCTGTACTGGTGGAAGAGAAGCGACATCCCTGCGGACATTACCAGTGGTAACCCTGATCCTACTAAATGGGGCACTCCTGCTTCACAATTCACCAGCGGTAGCAATTGTAACATTGGGAAATATTTCAAGGATCTCACAATTGTAAGTTCTTCTGAGGTGCTTCTTTTGCATGCAATTCCCTATTAACCTTTGCTAGATCATCAACACCGACTTCTGCGGCGACAGTATTGATCAGGGCACTTGGGATTCTGGTTGCTCAAAGTCTACTGGTGCGAAAACATGCGATGATTACGTTACTAATAATCCCCAAGCGTTCAAGGATTCTTACTGGTTGTTTAACTCCATTAAGATCTATAACTAAGAGATTGGGACAAGGCGCCTACCTGAGAATCTTTGGTATAGAGTTATATACAACTACTACATAAATAATCATGTTAGTGATGATAAATGAACATAATATTTGCCTCGATTTGGCTGTTGCTGGATTGTCAAAACTATAGCCATGACCGTCATTGCGCCCCCAGTTCCGCTCTCGAACTTCGCTATTCATTATTACATAGGTGGTCTTTAATGTCTTGAACGGAGATATAAGTTTGAGAAACAATAGCACGAAATGCAGAAATATTTATCATCCATGAAGTTCCATTCCCATTGCGGATTTACTGTCAACATATTAGCTCTTGTTTCTTCTCTCATTATGATTTGATCCATAGCGTCAATAGAACCTCGTTATGGTGTACTTAGTTATTGTTGGTGCTCCGAGCTTCTTTTCTGTTGAAGAGTTTTAAGCTGTCGTTGATTGTCTTTTTCTTTTGAAACGTCTCACTGCACAGGCATGAACTGGAGCAAAAGGGCGAGCCGCTCAAACGAGCATGGAACAAGAAAATGATGACAAAGGCCCTCAGTCAAAGCAACATAATTGAGAGCAAGGACTCAGTCTGCACATACAAACAATTTAGTATGTAGAGAAAAGCAAATATTGATATATACTACTAGAGTGGAATTTAGGCCGAGTAAATTGGCGTTTTAATGCATATATGCTTGCTGCAGCCTTTGACTTTTAACATATCTGCCTACGCACTACCTGCGACATGTGGGTATCTGAGTTTATGTGCGATAAAGAAAGGCTAGTAATAAATAAAAGCAATTAGTGCAGTGGACTGTAAAGCTAGTGTATAATGACATAACGATGTTGAACAATTGTGATGTTGTCGAGGTAGCTTGTTTACAGCTAGATGAACATTGGAACTCCCTCCAACTTTGTAATCGTCGTTTAAATAGAAATTTATGTTCCAGCAATGTTATTCGGTAATTAAGGTACAGAATCCCCCCTTCTTACAGAAACACTTATTATTGGTTATACAGTCTTGGAAGCTCTGGTCATAAGAAGACAATATGCGGGGTTACATTTCAATGGAAGAAGCCACTTATTCCTACCTAGGTAGTTACGCCACGTTGAAACATTTTGTCGTTAGACCCGATCGCGACAGCTTCCATGACCATCTTCATAGCTTTGATTGGCTCAGATCTCGAAGGCATTCGACTCTAATTCGCAGATACGTGTGGTGGCCGCCCGAGCTGAGAGCTAGATAGCAAACTCAAATTTAGTCTGCCCAATTGCGTTTGTTCAAATTCCAATAGATTGAATCGGATCCTCTTCTTAAAATGTCTCTGTTGGGCGCATTTGCAGTATAGATCAGAATTTCTGTTCAACTCACAAATTTGCTACAGCGCTGCACACCATGCATTCCCTGGTCCGCGATTCGGCTTTTGGTGCATTGGTACGATGGATAACGAAGCGCCAGCTGCTGAAATATCCCGATGAGAAAGCAGATTTCCATTATCGAGATCTGTATATGAGTGACGGTCCCAGAGAGCCAACACCGCCGCCAAGTCTAAGAGTCGTCAACCATTCGCAACAGGATCTTAGACATGATGAGCAAAGTCCCCCGGTCGCGCCGGCGACAGAAGAAACAAGCTCGATTTCGACGGAAAACGAAAGCGAGCTTGATCTTGACTGCCAGACACTGTCCAAGATTGTCTCTCGGCCTCGGATGTCGCATGTTGAATCATACGCCAGCCTAGAGAAGGCATACACAGACGCAGCATTGCAAGCAAACGCAAGAGCGCAGCATTCCACGATCCAGCCGAAGAAACTGGAGAATGGAGCCATTGTTGTTGACTGGTACACAACTGATGATGACGAGAATCCACAAAATTGGTCGTCTCGGAAGAAACTCTTTATTGTGCTTCAAATCTATCTCTATACTCTTGCAGTGTACATTGGATCTGCTATCATAACGCCGTCTCAGCCATTCATCGAGGAAAAATTCGGAGTGTCACCCGAGGTTGCATCAATGGGTCTTTCTCTCTATGTCCTCGGCTATGGCATTGGGCCACTAATTCTCTCTCCTCTCTCTGAGATTCCAATCATTGGTCGCAATCCACCGTATATAATCACCTTCGGCATCTTTGTTGCAATCTCAGCCGGTACCGCCGTCGTCAATAACTTCCCAGCATTGATCGTCTTGCGTTTCCTTCAGGGATTCTTTGGCTCCCCATGTTTAGCGACTGGGGGCGCAAGTCTTGGTGATATGTACAACCTCATCAAGCTGCCATACGCACTGACGGGCTGGGCCGCATTCGCAACTGCCGGCCCAGCACTTGGTCCTGTCATCTCGGGCTTCTCAGTCCCAGCCACAAACTGGCACTGGTCATTATGGGAGATTCTCTGGCTTGCCAGCCCCGTCTTTATACTCATGTTCTTTTGCCTGCCAGAGACATCCACGGCTACGATTCTACTTCGGCGTGCTAGGCGTCTCCGTCGATTGGCCAAGAGTAATAACCTACGATCCGAGTCGGAAAACGAACAAGCTGCTCTCACTGTCAATGAAGTCATCGTGCAGAGCCTATGGCGGCCTCTTCAAATCAATCTGTATGACCCATCGGTGCTCTTCACCAGCCTATATATAGGTCTCATGTACGGAATCTTTTACTCTTTCTTCGAAGTGTTCCCGTTTGTCTATGCCACAGGCCTTCCTGGTCTCACGTCTCCGACGAATGGCTATGGTTTGAATGCTGGTCAAGTCGGCCTTATTTTCCTTTCCATTAGTGTTGGTGTTTCCATTGCAATTATTTGCTACCTCGGCTATCTGTGGTTCGTCTTTGAACCCGAAGTCAAGACACAGGGATTGGGTGAGCCCGAGCGCCGTCTTGTCTGTGGTCTTCCTGCTAGCTTTCTTGTCCCAGTGGGCCTCTTTATGTTTGGTTGGACAGGAAACTCTAGCCCAGAGATACCGTGGATTGTTCCGACTATTGGCATCACAATTGTTGTGATTGGCATCTTCATCATCTTCCAGGTCGTCTTCATCTACATCGCGCTTGCGTATCCCAAGTACAGTGCCAGTTTGTTTGCAGCAAATGACTTTGCGCGGAGCAGCATAGCTTGTGGCGCAATTCATTTTTCGCGGCCACTGTTCATAAACCTGGGTGTTGGCAAAGGTGTCAGTTTATTGGCTGGATTGAGTTGTGCCGGTGTGATTGGTATATTCGTACTCTATTTCTACGGAGGAGCCTTGAGACGAAGAAGCAGATTTGCTGCAACATGAGCTACCCAATATGGTTACTCTGTACTTCGTACACTTGCAATCTGATTCAACAGCAGTATGAGTACATTCAAGGGGAGCTTGTGCTCCGCCAGGTAGCTGCAAATGCACTATCGGTGCTTGCATTTATATGCTAAGTTTACTCTCAAAAACAGGGATTTAGCACAATCGATAAATGCCGTGTTACCCCAGCTGTCATCAGGCAATTTCTCACTTTGGTGACACGCGGCGGCCCACATGCCAAAAGAAGACGTTTTTTTATGCATAATGACACCGGGCGCTATGCGTGTGGCATTCAAATGTTACATCGAGCCCCTTGGCAAGGGGAATGAAGAGATCTCCTGATTGGAGAAGAAGGATCTTACCTTCTTGGTAGGTGGCCAGCGTCCTCGCCACGAAATAAGTATAGCGCCAAACAGACGCAAGTCATCGCGATGAGATCTATCACATGGGTTCAAAGTTCAGATCGAATACCATCCTTTTGACAAAAATCTCCGTTGGAGTTTTTGTTTAGACAAAAACCTGACGTATAATGCGGTTGTTGCAGCGTCTTGGTCGGGCCCTAGAGACACCACGAAGATCAAACATTAGTCGCTCAGTGTAGCTCGGATACGCCTATAGGAGCATCAAAAAGGACCTTCTCCCTAGCCCCTGGAAAAAAAGATCAGATACAAGAAAAACTGGTCACAAATTTCTCCTTCCATATTGTCGATTTGCAACTCTGACTGGGCCTGAAAGTGTACATTTAACGTAAAAGCCGAAGCGAGAACCTACCCTGAAATCACCCTTCAAGGACCGAAGCCGAAGCCGATTCACAAATCACAGGGGTATTCTGCTCAGTATGAACAATGGATGTGAGATCCGAGCGGACTTGCCGCCCGAACGCAACTTTAATACGTGGACAATTGCACAGCCTTGGATAACTAATTGATGGCTTCGCTGTCAGGCAAAGCCGTTGAGATCTGAAAACTACCACCTGAGCTTGTGTGAATAAAAGTGAGCAAACTATTTACAATATTTGGCAGTATCGAACAAAAAGCGCCAGCGTGCTTGCTATACAAGTCTAAATAAAAAAATATCCAGCTCTCTTAAGGCAACAAATTACCAACCTCTTTCAGATTAGTTGGCAGGCAGCTCTAGAAGACGCTTGAGGACGTCGTCATCGCTAGGATTTCCCTCTCCCTTAATAGCATCGTACGCAGGCAAGAGAATGGTCTTCTCGATGTCCTTGTACTTTCCATCTGCGACATAAACCACGGTGCCCTGTCTGGAACCATCGACCATGAGATAAGCAGCAGCGCGTGCAACCACCAAGGCGGGTTGCGGCACGTGTGAGATCCCTCTCATGAGGCCCTCCAAATCGGGGAGAACGTTGCTTGTCGTCCATGATGGCATCAAAGTGTTGACGCGAATAGGAACTCCCGCAACTTCTGCAACTCGTGCAAGACCTCTGCCAAAACCGAGGACGCCATGCTTGGCCGCGGCTACATGATGCGGTCAGTATAACGAAACTTCTACTCAAGACGGCGCTTTGCTTTTTACTCACAGTAATCGATCGCTCGAAGAGGCTGTAGACCGGTGCTGGATCCCATGAGAACAATGCTACCGCCCTCGGGCTGCTCCTTCATGTAGTGAACGGCCAGAGAGGCTGTGTTGATAAGGCCTCTCAAGCCAATATCCATGAGTTCGTGTGATGGCTCCTTCAGGTTGCCCTGCTCATCTGTCTCAAGAGCCAAGTAGTTGGCACGGGGGCCGATACCGGCATTGGCAAAGATGCAATCGATGCGACCAAAGTGCTCCTTGGCTTTCTTGAACAGCACGGTCAGGTCATTCCAGCTGGCTACGTTGGTCTGCACATAGAGGAAGGCAGGTGTTTCTGCCGACTCGGAGGCTGGTGGCGGGTTGACATCGCCGCTGACTACTGATGCTCCCAACGAGAGCAGCAGCTTAACTGTGGCCAAGCCAATACCTGACGAGCCGCCTATAGTAGATAGGTCGGTCAGCTCGAGCCAAGAAGCATTGCAACAGCAAAACAGCTCAAAGAGTCGAATCGGACATACCTGTAAGGACAACAACCTTGCCCTTGAGGCTGCTCAAATCCTCGTCATTGATGGTGAACTCAGACATGGTAGTGAGATAAGATAAGATCTCCGGTAATGGTGGAGGCTGTGAGACAGGCAGACGTCAAGAGAATGTGATATCGAACGGCTAAGATTTGATGGATGGTCAGAGGACTGAGATCTGGAAGGATTGAAGACAAGCAAGGGGCGGAAGGAAGTCACCGCCTGTCACATATAGCTTTATACTGGCAGACTAGCGGTGTTCCTTGTCCGCTGCATGAACAAGGAAAAAAAACCGTTATAACCCCTTTGCCTGGGGTGGCGTGGTGAAACCAGTTAGCCTGCCTGTACCCCACACGCATCCGCAGGAGCTCGCAGAAGAACTGGTGAGCGGTCCGGCACTCGCCAGATGGCGGAAAGCAAAAGAGTGACACGATTACGGAGTATGCTGCCCAACTGACGCTCAAAAGTGGGTTGCGCGGCGCTCAATTTCTCTTCCACTTTTCTTCCACCGCATGAATTCTCTTATTAAGGGTTGCATCCCGGTGGAGCGACGCAGGGGGCGCTCGAGTAATGAACGGCAAGTTTGCATGCTGCAGAAAGAAAACGGTACAGGGGTTGCTCGAGTAATGAACACTACGCTTGGCAGTGCCGTGACAAGTAGCGGAAGGAAAATAGTGGCTCGCTTAAACCCAAAGTACTTGCAAAAGTGGACTTGCGTGTCGCTATTCTCTTCCGCAGCATGGGCTAAAGGAAACTAGAAGGAAATCACCGCCGGACTGCCGCCATAATGTAGGTAAAGTCGTTGAAATGTATATGTGTGAAGCGGCAGTTTCCTTCTCACCCCTTGCTTAGACCGAAAACAAGAAATGACAAGCGCCGTTTTATTTTCACTATGGTCTCATCTTCGCCGATCCTCTTAGTCTAAAGGATGAGTCGTTGTTTATTTTACAACTCTGGTTCTCCTCTGCAAATCTGCAAATCTGCAAATCTTCAACTCTTCTTCTCCATATTCTCTTAATCACCCTTAGCTAGCAGTTCTCAGTCGTCTGCCCATCATGGTTCAGCCGGCGGGGGACGGCGTTCAGCTTCTCTATGCCTCGATTGTGCTGCTTGTCCTGACTTGGTTGACATTCATCCTTCGGATGTCAGTGCGAGTTTGGCGAAATGCGTCGGGCTGGGACGACATATTGATGTTTATAGGCCTTGTACGTGCATAGGTAACCAGTCAACGAACCTGCGGAAGTTTTCTAATGCTTTGCAGCTTCTCTTTACGGTAACAGCTTCCCTATGCATTGTCTGCTGCTACCTCGGATCTGGTCAGCTTGCTGTCCATCTGAGTAAGAGTGATATCATGCATGGAACCAAGGTGTGTGCTTTCGCCCCTCCTCAATCGCTCAAAAACACATTGAAACTGATTCTTGGCAAAAGAACTTTTTCATCGCCGAATACTTCTACTCCTCTAGCACCGTCTTCATCAAGAGCAGCATCGCCATAACGCTTTACCGAATTGCCGATGCCCGCCGCCGTTACAAGTGGACTATCTGGGCCGTCATCGTCGCCACGAGTATTTCCGCCATCGTATTCATAGTGGGCATTTCCAACATTTGCCATCCCATCACCACCCTATGGGGCGAAACTACTACCGGCACATGCAATCTCGACCTGAACAGCGACGTCAGTTTCTTCTTTTCTGCCATCGAGATTATAACAGATTGGACTTTGGCAATTTTGCCTGCGGCCTTGCTGTGGAAAATCCAGATGAAACCTACGGTCAAGTTTTCAGTAGCCATTATTCTCGGCATGGGTGCTTTGTATGTCTCCGAATCCTTCTTCTTCCCCTGACAGAAAACAGCCCCCACCCATAACGCTTTGCCACCACTGCAAACCAGGGTATACGAGCTAGCTAACCCTTTACCAGTGCAAGTTGCGCGACAATAGTCCGACTTCGCTATCTAACTCTCTACAGCAACCCCACAGAATTCATGTTCGGCACCGGGAAGATCGGCCTCTGGTCCGTTATTGAAGAAGGCATTGGCATCATCGCAGGCTCGTTGCATGCCCTTCGCCCTCTTCTCTCTCTACCCATCTTCGGCGGCACCTCCAAAGGCGGCACGTCGGGTTCATCTTCGGCGAACAAATTCATGTCCTCAAGGAGTGGACATCAAGATAGGCGCGCGGATATCAATATGGATACCTTTCAGCAGCTGGGAGACACTGATGGGGATGGTGATGCGGAGAGCTCCAAACACATCTTGAAGGAGACGAAAGTCACAATGACAAGAAGCAGTCGAGATGCTTCGCCAGGAGCGTATGGCAGGAGTCAGGTCCTGGGGTGGAAGCAGAACAATTATGAGAGTTGATTGAGAATTGATCTCTGTTGTCCAAATAGAAAATGCTTTTTATTAGCTTGGGTTTATAGAAGAATAGCCAATTACTTTTTACTTTAAATTTTATATATTATGATAACCCCATCGTTTCCACGTTATTGATCACGTCTTTCCTTGGTAATCCATCACATCCTTTCTTCGTAATTGATCAGATTATTTCAAACAATCGAAGCACTAGCGATAAACCTTCCGTTCTATATCCCTTGTTACGAATAGTGAAGGCTCTTTCAGCAGAATCTCAACAGAAAAAGCGAGATTATAAAGGGGGAATCAAGAAGAGAGAACCCTTCAGCTGGCTGGAGAAAGCGTTTATTGGGAACTGTTTCGTTAAGAAAAAAAGAACATCTCCTCGGATGATGCTCACGCGGCACATCCAAAAGTAGCCTGGTCCAATGTTTCTCGATGTCATTACAGTATGAGTGTAATATTATAGCCCCCACTTAGTGCAATTGCGAAAACTGTTTGCACTGTCGTCAACGAAGTTAACAGCAGCTTTGCAGCCTATGTGCGCCTATAATGCCTGTAACTCTAGGCTGTTTTTGGGATTTGTTACTTTCGCGTTGGGACAACTCGTTGTTGTTTCCCAGTAATGATTTTGGCGATTCCTACGTATCCGGGCATACGGTGGACAAATTACATCGCCGCCTATTGCATGCAGCCTTTTAGCAGCAGATCGGCGGTGTGTTTTTGTCCCCCACATCCCGATAGCTTGATCTTCGGTAGGCTGAGTCCCACCCATGGTAATTTGTAGCTAGTCTAGGGGTATATAGGGTATATAGCCTTAGAATCGGCTGGTAGATTGCGTCTTTCCCGTCGCTGGAAGCTACAGGTAGCGAGTGAGGCAAGACTAGAAGGCTAACATTGGATTAGCCCATCAGTTCATAAGTCAGGTGTTCTCAGAGGTCTTCACACCCATCCACCGTAGTAGATATCTTCTGTGATCATCCCAAGTGTTGGCGGCTCGCGGACTCCGTATCGTGAGCGTGCTTACTTTTACTGTATTAACAGTTGATCAGGAATCCGCACTTGCCACTGCCTAGCGAAGCATATCCGTCAGAGTCAGAAAGAATAGGCTTTTCTATTTCACACTCGATATATACATTGCATCCATCAGAATCCGCCACGGCAATGCAAGGTTTCGGGACAACGGCACTCCATTATCATCGCCTTCAATCATTCCTTCTTATATGGAGGACGATGGCTGGAATAAGACATGGCAAAATCATCTGAACAGAGCTCATCCAAGGCTTGGCCTAGGCTATTCTTATAAAATGTAATCTATTGCGACAGGCCGTGTCAGTGGCTCGAAATCGCATTCTTTCGCCCGCGCTGTTACGTCCACCTGTCTTATAACAAAGTTTTACGTGTAATATTATAGTATTACTTTCCTCCAAAGGCTTGCATCTTGATTTTCTGCTCGTCCGAGGAAAAAAAAGTGTAAACCGCAAGTCGCACAAATTGTTACAATAGCGACTAACCAAACCTGGCTCACCTCTGTAACACTTAGCGCCTCACCAACACTTCCGAAGAAACATAGCATTGTAGCCTCAATATCAATGAATAGGATGGCAATCATGGCTTTTGCGATTCCCGCATCGTAAGACCAGAAGCGACCCTGCGTACGCATGAATACGTACTGTGGGTGGCCCGCGATGATGCTGAACAGCCAAGTGTTCTGGGCCGATATTTCGCGAAGTTGTTGTGCGTTGCATGTAACGATATCCCCGTACTTCACGCGGTACCGACAATGATGAAGAAATTGAAGCTCCAGCGAGAATTCTGAGAGCCAAAGTAATATGGACAAACAGAATGAAAATTTGAAAATTCCTATCGCTTCCATTTGATGGCTTGTTCAAAAATAATGTATTGGCCTCAAACCCAAAAGAGCTCATCCACAGCATACCTGAGAGATTGAGATGCAAGATTAGCCACCAAAGATTCAAGGGCGTGTCGCTTGAAGTCATGGAAATATAGTTCCACATGGACCACAGACCAAGACATTGCAATGCTACAACTGCTTCGTAAGCCAGAAATAGACGCCTTGCAGCCCGGAGAAGTTGTCTACGATCGGCCCGCAGCCCCAGCCGTTAGCAATATTGATGGCGTTGAGCGCGCGACGGTGGTCCTCGATGAGTGTCTTGATCGCGGCGTCTTCGAAGGAGAGCATGCCAGAGAGAT